GAGTAGCCCTATGTTCAACAGTGGACTTCAATAGGCTGTAACGGTAACTATAATATATAGATGATATAATGAAATATACCTATTCGGTCTTTTTCTCGTTAGAATTTTATTAGTAATGCATAGGATTGATATAACGGTCTATTAAATACTCAGACGGGAATTTTCCATGAACGATAATATAATTCACCCGTTCAAATTTCACCTGTGCAAATGGTGAAGCGTTCGAGATCTTACGTATAATCTACCGTAAAATATCATTTGAATAAATTTCACGCCGTAACCCGAATAAAAATTCGATCCCAGCGTCACCTAATCGATTCCATCCCAAATAATGGCAAGTATATTCATGTGTTATCCTCCCGTACCTGCAATAAATAAAACACTCTGCCGTAATAATAATGTTGACGCCTCCCAACTCTACTAAATACGGTGCTTCATTAAATTAACACCCAGCATTTTCAGTATAATATATTAAAAAGTAGGTTAATAAGAAATGTACCTTAAAGATTACAAGAACTGTGAGTAAGAAGGCAGTAAGACCTATTTATTACTTTTGTCTTCCATGTGTGTCAATTGACAAGTACCAATACTTTTTTGTTTTGCACCGTTAACTCGGACATTCAGATGCTATCTTTTAGTTTAATCTCAAAGAAAGCTTACTAAGAGATGGTGTTGGCTCTAGTTTGGTATCTACGAATCTGCTATGCCTCGAGCACAGGCGTAATGTAGCTCTCCCGGTGTATTAAGTATACATTTTATAGAGTGTGCAGTTATTGCAATCATTAATAATTCATTTAATTCCTCGATTCTATTTCCATCATCGCACAACTAGACACACAGATTTCTGTCATATCGTTGTGGATATATTAAGTATTCGGTCTAGTTATTAATTAATTTATTATTTTTATTATTATTTATCTACTAATAGACGTAGCTCTAAAAATCCATCGAAATAGCATAACCCGAATCCACAAACTGGTAACGGGGAGGAGCAATAAAATTTCAGAGGCAAAGCCCTGCACTTACCGAATTACATGCCAAGCTTTTGTGTATAGGCTATACTTTCAAGAAACTGACTGACTGACTGATATTTTAGTGAACTTAAAAATGAGTTTGCTTGGGTGCAATAACGTATTATGAGAAGAGCCTACTGCACTGCTAGAGTGAGAGTTGACGCTTACTTTTTCTCGAAATGTACAACTATTATACAATTTTATTTCTTGGTGATACAACTACCAGTATATATAAATACATTAACCAGTAAAAGTCCCCTGCTAGACATGGGCATTTCCCGTCGTAGGAAGGTTTTGCCTTAATGGTCACGCTTGGCTTTCGGATTTACGAGTATAATCGCAGTACAAAACGTCACGTACCTTTGACGCTCTGAGCACTTTACGTTTGGTGAAAACCAGATGGTACCGCCATCTATCGGAATGAAAAAAACTTAAATACTACTTGTTGAGATGTTCGATTTTTAGAGGACTAGAAAAGAAAGATGCTTAAACTACTTTGTGTATCGACAAACATTTTACACACCCTTAACTTAAAGATCAAATATAAACGTTACTTTTATATTTCTACGAGGGAAATAAATACGAAAATCTTATTAGCTAAATTCATTAAGCAAAACTAATATAAATGTAAATGTATTTTGTATCATATTCTATTATTAATAAAAATGAAGTGTCTGTTATATTGACACATTAATAATATATATTTTTAAACTGTTTGTCAGCCCGGAATGACTGAACCGATTGTGATGAAATTTAACGAACGGATCGAACGCTTCCAGACACTCCAGGGTGTAAAATATAGCCTAGATCACAGTCTAGGTTATATTATATCCGAAAAATATGCAGGATTTTATTTTCAAATAGAAAAATTAATAGAATAAAAATGTTTGACCACTATTCCTAACCTTTATGAGATTTAAGAAAAGTATCAAACAAAATTTCTTGGTACACTAAAAAGGTCATTACACTTTATCCCGTATCTCTTAAAACTTTGATGCAGAAACATATTGAATATACTCGTAGTTTTCGATATAGTAAAAAAAATGAGTCACTTTTGACTCATTTATTTCTATAAATACACTGATGAGATAAAATAACGTTATTGTTTAAGTTTTACCTGGACGATGTCGTTGATAAATGCTAGTGTAAATTAAAATTGAAAAATATGACTGCTAATTAATAATTTCACATTGTTTCAAGTAGTTACAAATTTTTTTTTTTTGTTAATCACTCAAAGGTTTTGAAAAATAAAAGAAAAGAAATGATAAAGCTACAACATACTACATCCTAGTACTGGGCACAGGCCTCCTATCTGCTTTGAAGGGGTTATGAAACAGCTTATGTAGGCGGACTTTATTCTATCAAAACATTTCATTTATTAGACATGCAAAAAGAATTTTAATTTTCAACTTTCTATGAGAGAATATTTAAAATTTTAACTTTCTAAACTATTTAGAACTAGTTTCTATTCCGTCGCAAAAATTAAATATAACATTCATTAACTCATTATCATATAGCAAAAATTTCACACATACTAGGTATGAGTTATGAGATGATTGCTTTCATTGGAGTATATCAAAACTGTCACAATGATAAAAGACGGAAGAAGTTTCTTGACAGCAATGACAAAAGGTTTATCTTAGTGGCTGTACAGCGGCTTCGCTAACTGGTTCAGAAAACTATATCCAATCTACGCAGACCAGAAAAAGGAAGGCCCTTAGTATTTTTATAATTCGCAAACGAAGATAGATGTAAATGTCTATGGGCCGCAGCAACCACTTACCATCAGGTGGACTGTGTGGTCGTTTGTCACCCTTATCCTATATTAAACAAAGCATTTTGACTGCTGAAAATTACGTAGAAAATCCGTAAAAGTAATTTAGGGTGTACGATCCATTTATAATCAGTTTGGGTAAGGATGGCGTTTTTGTATATAACAACGTCAAAAGTGATATGTCGACACGCAGCCACACCTTAATCCTATCGAGCATGACGAAATTAAGAGATTAAATTATAAAATATTTTCATTTATAGTATATTACATTAATAGTATCGTACTTTATCATCATAGACGTGACACACGTGTACATTTTGGACGTGTTAGAGCCATGCTGCAGCTATATTAGTGGTATAGTTTTTGCACGAATGGGTCGGCTCGACCGGGGAAGGACCACGCTCTCACAGAATACCAGCGTAAAACAGCAGCGTTAAGATTTGTTTCGTATGGTGAGTGTAGACAACAGGAGATCCTTTTTACTGGAACCGAGGCATTCCATCTTAGTCCTCACGGGTGACGACGCATCTGCATTTTGATTTGTAATCGACGATAGATGTAGATATGAAGAAGAAGAATATCTAAGGGCTATAGCAACCACTTACCATCAGGTGGGCTGTATGCTCGTTTCTCACCCTTATCCTATAAAAAAATACATTACAACCCATCATAAGTACAATGTTGAACATAAGCCTCCATCATGATTGTCTCAGTTTGGCACGAAGCTACACAGGCCGTTGACGTTTGGGGATATTTGCCATAGTTGTCACGCCTGACAGTCGGATTGAGAACCGCTTTTTTTGGTTATTAGCAAAATTTATTATAATCAGCAAAACGCTGCTGTCCATTTCTTGTTGCAGTTTCCGCCTGTCGCCTCTTAAGGTGTTGGGTAGTGGGTTCTCTTTCGCCATTAGCACAAAGCAAATAGCAAGTAATATATACTTAAAAAAATTGTAATAAATTCTACATTAAGTACTTTGTAATAACCAATTTTACATAATACTCTTGTAAAACTTTCCGACAAAGATGTTAGTACAAAAATATTTTATTAACCACAATTCAGAAACGTTTATTATCGTTAACCAGTAAATAAATTATCTTCAATGTCGAAATAGCGTACCTGGGCTTCACTGCATTAGGCATCGCTTTTAGGATCTATTGTTCTAATCGCAGCGGTAAACTGGCGGCGCGCCCTCTCGTGTCTAAAACCTATGACTCATTGCCGATAGGAATGCCTCCTGGGCCCGCCTTATGTAATTACCAAGGAGCAGCCTTTCAAATCGAAACGTGCGAAGGAAGTTACAATTGCGCCTTGATTGAGAAACATTATTACTCGTATATTTAAGAAATTTCAAATAAAATAAACTGAATGAAATTTTCTTAAAGACTTGGCAGAAAGTCTTTTATTTCACTACCTACGAGCTGGCTCGGCAGACGTTGGTCTACCCTTTTCGGTAGGTGGCGCGAAGAGTTTCGCTCCGGAATTTTTATAGTGTAAATAAATAAATTATTATTATAAACTTCACCACACTGAATACTAAAGCAACATAAATTTTGAATACCTATGGGTAAGTTTGGTCCATAAAATATAGAATTTGTTAATAACAGCGCCACCTTTCGGATTCTAGCATAGCTTTGAACCATCATCTCGAAAGATTTATCATCATCATTACAGCCCGTCACAAGTACATTTTACAAATAACATTGTAATGTAATGTAATCACAACAGATCAAGTACAGACGCACCGACGATTATATACATAAAAGAAAAGTAATTGCTTTATTCGATTGTAATCTTACCATGCAAGAGATGTCCAGGTGTACGAGGTTAAGCTATACGCTGCATTACGTCTTTAGCACAAATAAGTCGCACGATCGGGCAAGAAAAACGCGCTCACAGAATTCTAGCTATTGTGTTTAGTACCATTACATAAGAAACACCGCAGAAATATGCTGTTATTTTACGCTAGATTTCTTTGTAGAGAGCCGTACCTTATTTTTTCCGATGACGAGGCATTCCATCTTAGTCCTCTAAGATGAGAACGCCTGATGCATTTTAGTTCTTAACTGATGACAGATGTACAGGGTGGGGCAGCATAACTTCCTTATTTGTAATGCGCGCCATTCGGTCAGGTGACATCGTAGTGGAGCGCTAGTGGTCTCGTTCGAGAGGGGGGGCTATAAAGTTTAGTCGAGACAGCTCAGTCGCCATAATGCGTTGGAACAGTGAGGAGCGTGCGTTTGCTGTTGAGGCTTACTTTTCGCGCGGATGTTCTGTGATTGCAACTCAGCGCGCCTTTCGAAATCGCTTTAATTTAGCCCCGTCGGCCCCTGTTCCAGACCGAAAATCAATTGTTATGTGGGTCACTACGTTTAGACAAACTGCAAGTGTGACAAAACGAAGAACTGGAGTCCCTCGGCCCATTAGATCACCTGAGAACATTGAGGCAGTCAGAGCTTCAATGTTGCGATCACCACGGCGTTCTGCGCGCAAACATGCATCTGCCCTTGGACTTTCCAGTCGTTCTGTGCGGAGAATTCTCCATGAAGACTTACATTTCCATCCATACAAGATGGCGACTGTACAGGAACTGTCAAAACGTGACTACGATTCTCGCAGGAACGCATGTGAGATTCTTCTGGATGTCGTTCCTGAGGACGCTATTGTTTTTTTTAGTGATGAAGCACATTTTCACTTGTGTGGATCCGTGAACAAACAAAACATGCGCTACTGGGCTGACACCAATCCTCGAGAATTGCATGAAAGGCCTTTGCATTCACCTAAGGTCACAGTGTGGTGTGCAATTTCCTCAGCTGCAATTATTGGTCCCTGGTTCTTTGAGGAAAATGAAGTCACAGTAACAGTGAATTCGGGCCGGTATGTAAACATGTTACAGGAATTCTTTTTACCCCGGCTGGATGCGTTGGACTTGGGAGACATTTGGTTCCAACAAGACGGTGCAACGGCACACACTGCAAGAGCATCGATGGCTGTTTTGAGAGAACACTTCCCAGAACGCCTTATCTCAATCAGGGGCGATTTGCAGTGGCCGGCCCGATCTCCCGATTTGTCCCCTTGTGACTTTTTTCTATGGGGTTTTTTGAAATCCCGTGTTTATGTGAACCGTCCAAGGACCCTACAAGATTTAAAGAACAACATCCAGGAAGAAATTGCCAACATAACGCCTGCTCTGCTTCAAAGAGTTATGACAAACACCAGAAATCGGTATACTCAATGTATAGAGAATAAGGGACGTCATCTACCTGATTTGATCTTCAAAACTAAATAAAACAAAACTTTAAGTATGTACTTACATTGTAAAAACCAAATAAAATTTTTCCGATTCATACAATGTGTTTTATTAGGTTTTAAAAAAAGGAAGTTATGCTGCCCCACCCTGTAGGTGCTTATGGACCAAATTATTCATTTACCACAAGATAGACTGTTCGGCGTTTTTCATCATTACTCCTATAGAATTAGTTAAAATTCCGTTAGATTCTTACCATCTTTTGTAACCCCATTTAATACTGGGTGGCAAACAAGCACACAGTCCACCTGATGGTAAGTGGTTGCTGTGGCTCATAGACATCTACATCTATCCTCAACTAAGAATCAAAGTGGAGATGCGTTGTCACCCTTGAAAACTAAGATGAAATGCCCCGTTTACAGTAAAAAGGGTCGCCGGTTCTCTACACTCACCATACGAATTACAGCAGCGTTAAGCTATTTTACGCTGGTATTCTGTGAGAGCGTGGTCGTTCCCCGGTCGAGTCAACCCATTCGTGCTACAACTATACCACTAATATAGCTGGAGCATGGCTTTACCACGTAAATTATAGCAGTATTAAGTAATCCTTAGATATCAAAGCACTTTTACAAGGAGGGATAAATCCTTTCTGCCAAGGAGTCCGTCTGGGTATATCCCACCCTTTTACCTATTTCTGCCGCTACAGTGGTTTTACTGTTCCACTCTGAAGGGTATATTATAATTAAAGATAGTAAGGGATACCATTTTAGTACTCAGAGGTTACAATGCTTTTGTAGCTTTCATTGATTGAATTTGGCCCTGTACATGGACTGCAGTAGCCACAGGTAAACAATTAGATCGATGTCACTTCAGTTTTTTAATCTTTAATCTGCCATGTTAGTCACTTTGTACGGAGTATTGCATATAAAACCATGCGTAAACTTGGATAAAATGTCAGCCTTACGAGAATATTGAATTTAGGACCGAAATCTAAAAATTTTGTGTTTGCACTAAATCTTGGAATTGAATCTTGAGCTCGTACGCGGTTTTGCAGGTTATTTCAATTCAAAAATTTCTGTAACGTAATATGAAGCTGACTTTTTAAAATTGGAACGACATAAAAGAGGATGGGTTGATGACGCGAAAACAACAAAATCCAAATTGGACGTCACGCAATATGTTTCAATGAACTGACACGTCACTGCTTCGTGCGAGCGAATAATTTTCAGTGAGTAATTAGTAATTACGGAACTGCAATTAATGTAATGCTCATCGCGTTTCACCTATTAATTTAATGGTTGCCCCGCGTTTTTAATCCTGACCCATTCGAGCAATAATTTATGAAAAAATACTTTAAGTAATAACCTACATGATGAACTCGTATAAAGTGAAATACACAAGCTACGGAGTTTTTAATTGCCACCCACGTGATGCACCAGGCTAACTAACCTACGAGGTTTTGAAGGCAATTTTCAGTGGAAAATTCATTTCAGTATTCCAACCGTAATTAGTGTCGGGTCTGGACTTACAAATTTGCAACTGAGTGTGGTGGGCATATTCTTGGAAATGCTTTGCCTGAAACTTTATCAAAGCGTTTGGTTGTGATGTACAGTTGCCGTATATGGGCTAGTGTTGTTTATCAATTAGCAGTTTCGCACTCAGTGGAGGGACGTGCCAAAAGACTGACTGCTTACCATCAAGCGCTGGCGTAAGGTGTTCAATCTCTCGGTATTAAATACTAAAGAGAGTGCTTTACTCTTAAAAATACAATATGCTAAGCCAACACTTAAATAAACAAGTTTATTCGACTGCATTTCAATACAATGCATCACTGAAAATTATATGCAGCTCGGATGTAGTCAGATCACGTTAAAGTAGTAAAATAATAAAACTCTATCCTTTACGTCAACGTTTTGAATAAAATGCAGAACGTGTCTGGGATGCAGCCAAAGCAGTTCTAGTCGCCCGAGGTTAGCGCGTTAGGTTCTTTTCCATTCGCAATTCTCTATTTAGTCAAAGTTACTGTAATTTCAGGTAATTGTTTTTTTTTCTTTCTTTGATCTCGGGTGACGATGTTCTATTATCATCTACGAGTTAACCGTGAAGTGGTGATGTAAGAATATCCACTACCCCATATCGTCCCATTGTTGGCACATGAAGCGAAAGAGAAAACCTAAAACAGGAGATGGGCAACAGCATCTTTCTAATAACTACTCAAAGTAATAGAAAACAGCGGTTGCCAACCCGTCTACTGAGTCTGGCAAAGTATGAGGCAATCTATGGATGGACGGAAGTATCTACGGGTCTATTTCGATCATGGTAGCAGTTCCGCACACGTTCGGAAAATGTTATATTACTTAAATGGATACGCATAATAGCAACCGACATATAACAAACAAACTCACAGAGGACTTCACTTATCGTAATCAACCCGTTATCCATACAATTGCTAATACTATGCTAGTGTTAGGCTAACATGCCTAACACTATTATAACATTATTGTGTACACTTTGCATAAATGCTGACAATAACTATCATTTAAACTCATAACACAAATCTGAAGCCGTTCAGATGTAATTTGCAATAAATATTTATTAAATAAAAACGAATGTGTCACGAGTATTTCTACTTAACATTTATCTAAGGGTCAAATTATTTTTGAAAACCTTAAAAAAAGTCATAATTGAAAATATCCATAACAAGAACACACCACGTTAAAGCACGACTCCAAAAGCTTGTTTATTTAACATAATATTGTGTGCGGTTTAAGAATCCACAAGTTTCTTTGCTTTTAACCGACTTCAAAAAGGAGGAGGTTCTCAATTCGAGTGTGTTTTTTTTTGTATGTATGTTACGCGATATCTTCGCAGATTGTGAACTGATTTTGATGATTCTTTTTTCATTAAGTAGGTTGTATTTCAAGGGTGGTCCCATAGAAATTTGGAAAAAATTGAAAAAAGTCCAAACCTACGGGTAATAAATAAATAAATTCATTTTTAGCTATTTGAAGTCGTTTTTAACTTTCCGTTAAAAGTTATAATTATTATTGAATCAAAACTTTGAAATTACTAAAGTATAGTGACTAATTTACTTAGACGCGCTTAGTTTGCATGTAAGGGTTATTTACGATTCCATTTGTAGTTCCTGACTATTGCTATGGGTGGTTTTCAAGGGACGTTACTGTGGCCAACCCCTGTTCGCAGAAACTTGGAAAATAAATTTGGCCGCGAGCCGGCACGTTGTTTGTCCAGTAATAGGCGCGCCAACAAACATAAATTATGGGTAACATTTATCTTAAGTTTGCCCCAACAATGATCGACAAATATTTACAAAGTACCTATATACCTTATAGACTAACATATTCTCGAGTTACTTCTTATAACAAAAATATATATAATAATTACCTTTTCTTTGGTTATATATAGATTTATACGATTTAGTTATATTATATATATTTGTAGTTTCGTAAGTCTAGTTATTAAAAATTCTCCTTTATAATAAACATATTGTAAAGAATTTTGTAAAAAAAAAACTAATAATTTAATTTAGAAAATTCTTCATAATATGTCCATATGAATTATATTGCTCATTTTTTGCAAGATTTCAACCAAATGGACAATATATATCTTAAAACTTATAGCGTAATCGGAGCACTTGTTTCATCGTTTCCATTGATAAATTTTCATATGCGTAGAAATTTATTACACAAAAATAGCATCATTTTACGTGTAAAAGTCTTTATTAGAAAAACACTCCTGGTTTGTTTCCCTCTGTTAATTCTTACGACACCCGTGAAAAGATAAAGGGTAGTTGAAATTCTTACACCGCCACTACACGGCGACTCACATGCGAGTACAGCTCACATTACATGCTTTTATATTGTAGTAATGACAGAAAACATACATAATATTATGATATATACATTAAAACAGAATAGAGCAATTAGGCTATAATTTGAAACTAAGTACTTTTGTAATTTACGGTTCCGTCAGAAAATCAATCACTCAGTCTTATTTTTCAGATCTCGTAAAAGAAGAAATGCGATAGGACAATCAAATAACATTCTACAGAATAAACATTTTTCATATTAGAAAACCCATTACGGTGAGGAGGAGTAGTATCTGAAGTATGTGAAAAAGTAATTGATATCTTCCTTTTAAGGAAGACTTGTGGATGGATGGACAACAATGGATTAATTTAAGTGTAAATAAATAGTAAATCAATAATTATAATAGGAATAAAAATATTACAAATATATATATATATATATATATATATATATAAATCTATATTAGTGATGATTCAACAAAATATTTACAACGTCACTGACAATTTAGTAGTTTTTAAACTTATTTTAGGCAATAACATATTATTTACACATGCTATTAAAAACAAAATATTACACCGATGTTGTATAATATTATTTTAAACAAAAATACATACACACATATATATAATATATATATATATATATATATATATGTAGGAAGTATAATGGGTATAGTACGGAGACTGATTTTGTAGTTAGGAATAATAATTAATTCGTTTACATGAATTAATTATCCAACGAGTCGAGGATAAACTAGTAACGGAATACGACAAGCGCACCGTTTCACGTCAGAGCCAAGACTGCCTTAACGGCGGCCGCTCCGTCCGTTTTATACCAGCAGGACGGGTGGCAACGCAGGTGCAATGCCGCATGTGTGCGGTACACGTGTCGTTTACAAGAATTCTGTCTAGCTAGACCGACGCCACCGCACCTACAACGGTTTTTTTTACAGTTTTGTATGCAGTATATAGACCGCCAAAAACAAATAGATATATTTTTGTAAAGGAGTTGAGCAAATGCATGTCTACGTTTCACAGTAAGAGAAATCTAATCTTGATAGGTGATACCAATATTGACCTAAAAAGTGTATCATCACTTACAGACTCATACCTAGAAATGCTCAGCGAGCACGGATTAATGTGTGGAATATCTGACTACACTAGGATAGAAAAAAAACTAAGTCTTATCACAAAGTCCTGCATTGACCACATG